CTTGAGTACTGTCTTCTTTTATACTGTCTACAACATAATGATTCCTTACATGAGGGTCTGCATGCCCTTTTTCGTTAACCGTTATGGGCCATTTTAATTTACCGTTAATCGTTGCCGGCCCGCTCTAATTCAACGTTAAGCGTTATCAGTATATTCCTCGTGAAGCGTTATGGGTCGTTTTAATTCAACGTAAAACGTTATTTGTCATCCTAAATTCAGCGTTAAGCGTTAATAAATAATTCTTCGTTACGCCTAATTTTGCCTTTCAAAATGCAGGAAAATGCGTCATTGAAGGTTCAAAAATTCGAAATTTCCCGGGGGAGAATGCCCAGACCCCCCTACATTGCTCGCGCCTTTGGCGCTCGACTCGCGCTTCTGCGCTCGGTCCCTTCGGCTCTAGCCAGAACCAGTTTTCCATTCAATTTCCGGAAGTTTGCGGAGAGTTACAGAATTTTTTAACGAATATATAATCCGTCAACCTTGACAGGCAAATTAACAAAAATCTTGAGTAAAATATGAAAACATCAGAAGGACCGAGAAACACTCTCAACACCATGATTTGCCTCTCGAAATGCGGGAAATTGCGTTTTCGAAGGCTTAAAAATCCTAAATTCCCCGGGGGAGCATTCCCCCGGACCCCCCTAGATTACAAGCGCCTTCGGCGCTCCCCTCTCAAAACCCATCGGTAAAACTGGGCAGACGGAAAAAATGCAATTGCTGGCCGACGTCGACTCGGCCAGGGCAGGTGGGGAACACAGGGAACACATACCTTTAATGCACGCTTCATTACATGTAAGGTATACGTAATTTTGTCGGTGATCACCTTTTCTCACAAAGCGAGATACCAAATCCAGTGCAGCTCGAAAAAAAAAGCCTGTCAATTTACCGTTAAGCGTTGCCGACCGTCCTGAATTTACCGTTAAGCGTTATCGGCCCTGCTGAATTTACCGTTAACCGTTGCCAGGACCCCCCCATGCAGACCCTCTTACATGTTATATTTACCTCCATGAAAAATGGAGGCATTGTTTTTGGCGCGTCTGTGTGTGTGGGTGTGGGTGTTTCCGCACATTTGTAGTCAGCATAACTTCATAACGCCTTTATGGATTGTGATGATATTTGGTATGCTGGTAAGTATTAGGAAGATGAAGGTCAAGGTCAAATATGGGCCTCCTGGTGGATGACCTTGGTACTGCAACAGAACTTCCGGTTTTTGTATCTTTTGTCCTGAACATGCTATAGTCTTGATTTTTTGGTGACAGATTATCCTGTCAGGAACAAGTGTTGTAAGTTTGGTCCCCCTTGCAGCTTGTTCTGGAACTGCAGGGGGGATTTCTGGTAAAAACCTTTAAAGCCAATAAGTCCAGATAGGAACAACATATTTTCATCATTTTTGGTATTTAGGTAGCTGAGAGAGAGTTCTACAAAAATAAGGGCAAATTATGCAAATGAGAACTTAATTTGCATAATTAATGGCGAAATTCTATAATTACAGTGTTTTACATAATGGCACTACTATACATGTAATCTATTTAATCTGTGGCAGGCGGAACATCAGCAGATACTAATTATGCAAATGATGACCTAATTTGCATAATTAATATGAAAATTTTGTGACTCCTTACTGGTGAATGATCCGAATTTTATACATTTTGACATGTGTAAGTAACTTAAAGGTTAACACCACAATGCATATATTATGTTAATGTAGAGGTCATTTGCATGTTTAATTAGGACATGTTGAAATGAAGCACGACAAAGGAGAGGAATTTTACACGAAAATATTTTAATTTGAATTGATAAAACCATGACTTAAACTAGATTATGCTAATTATGACCTTATTTCCATAGTCAATGAGACAAATAAAAAACATTTACAAAAACGTATATATTTCATGGAGGTATGAAATCTACGAATTCTTGTATTAATATTGCATTGTTGCCCTATTGCCCTATGTATATGTATGGGAGGGTCTGGGAGTAAGGCATTTGTAATTGTTAGGAAACTCGGTGTGAACTTGAGACATCATACAGAAAGTTGATTTATTACTGTAACTTGTAAAAAAAACTACTCCAAAGAATTAAGTTGTTACAAATAGAGAAGTCATGTGTCCCATCTCAGAAGTAGAATCTTATTGGCAAATGGTTACAGTAATGAGGCAGTGTCTGTTGTAGATTAGAACTACATGGAGGCTGTTAGTTTAGTCATAAAATAGATGTACATGTTTTGGTGGTCCTGATACAGAATGCATAGCCATATGGTCTCTCGGTCTATTGCCCATCTACATTTTGTACTTCATCAAATGAGCGGGGTGGGATTTCACTGTCCATAACATCTACCCTGGTACAGAATGAAGTATGTACATTTGTGAATGGATATGGGGCATTTTATGTATTATCCTCAGAGGCAGCACTGTCACTGATATTGGCGATGTTGCTTTCAATCCCCTTTATCAATGGGTGACTTTTGTGCTCAGGGAAAATTTGTCTTGCCATAGCCAAGGCTTCTTGGCAGAGACTGATTGCTTTTTCACGAACGCCTAGGTCTCCCCATGCCATTCCCAGACTGTTGAGTGATGTTGCGATAGCAGGGTGTGTTGCATTCTGTCCGTAGATGGTTTTGCACATCTGCAGTGCTTCATCACAATAGCTGAATGCTTTCCTGCCCTCATACATGTGATTCCAGGCTTGGCCTATGTTGTTGAGCGTCATGGCGATGTCAGGATGATCTGTACTCTGACCAAAGACATCCCTGTACATCTGCAGTGCCTGTTCATGGTAGCCGACTGCTTTCTTGTAGTCACCCCGATTACCCCAGACCAGCCCCATGTTATTGAGTGTCATGGCAATGTTAGGATGAGCGACATCCTCACCATAGATGCTATATGTCTGAATCGCCTGTTTAAGGTAGCTGAGAGCTTTCCCATGATCACCCAAGTCGTTCCAAGCTGACCCCAGGTTTCTGAGTGAAACGCCAATGTGAGGATGGTTTGAACTGTCACCATAGATACTCCTGCGCATCTGCAGTGCCTGTTCATGGTAGCTGATTGCTTTCTTTTGATCCCCCAGGTAACTCCTGAGTTCGCCCAGGTTATTGAATGACATTGCGATGTCAAGATGGGGTATACCCTGACCATAGAAACTTTCCCTCATCTGGAGTGCCTGTTCAAGGAAATTAAGTGATTTCTTGTAGTCACCAAGATGACACAGGACCAACCCAATGTTGTTGATTGATCTGGCAATGTCAGAATGGGCAGAATTCTCACCATGGAAATCCCGGTATGTCTGCAGTGCGTCTTGAGTGTACGAGGTTGCCTTTTTGAAATCACCCAGATAAAGCCAGGCCATCCCCAAGTTGTTAAGTGATGTTGCAGCGTCTCGAAGTGCTGTATTCCCTCTGAATATCTGCAGCGCCCGGTTGTGGTAGCTCAGTGCTTGTCTATAATTGCCCAAATAGTACCATTCCATTCCAATGGCATTGAATGACTGGGCAATGTAAGAATGAGTTGAATTTTGACCATAGAGATTTTTGAACATCTGTAGTGACTGGTCGTGGTAGTTAAGTGCTTTTCTGTAATCACCAGTACCGTACCAAGCACTACCAATATGTCGTAGTGATCTGGCAATGTCAAGATGTACCGTGCCTTTGCCGTAGATGCTTTCCCTCATTTGTAATGCCTGTTCATGGTAGCTGATGCCTTTGCTGTGATCACCAAACTGCACCCAGTTTAGCCCCAGGTTGTCAAGCGTGACTGCAAATAGACGATGTGCTGAACCCTGACCATAGATATTCCTGTACATCTCTAGTGCCTGTTCTAGGTAACCCCTAGCTTGTCTATTATCTCCCAGCTGGTACCAGGCTTGTCCGATGTTGTTTAGTTCTGTGGCAATAGCCACATGTTTTGTTTTCTGACCGTAGGTACTTTTGTATATCTGCAGTGCCTGTTCATGGTACTTAAGTGCTTTTCTGAAATCACCTAGATTTTGCCATGTCAAACCCAGGTGGCAAAGTGTTTTAGCGATTTCGGGATGTGCTTTAGACTGACTTAATATGCTGCTGTAAATCTGATGTGCCTGTTCATAGTAGCTTAGGGATTTTTTATAATCTCCTAGGTAATGAAAGGCTCTACCAATATAAATGAATGAATTGCCTATATCGCGATGTACTGTGCCGTAGATACTTTCCCTCATCTGCATTGCCTGTTTATGACAGCAGAAGCCTTTGCTGTGATCACCTAGAAAAATCCAACCCATCCCCATTTCGTGTAGACAGGTGGCAATGTCTGTATGTGCTGTGCCCTGACCATAGATGCTCTTACGCATCTGCAGTGCCTGTTCATGATAGTTAATAGATTTCTTGTGAGCACCTAGTTTACTCCATGCTGCCCCCAGGTTGCTAAGTGAGCTAGCAATGTCAGGGTGTGCTGTACTCTGACCATAGATACCCTTTAACATCTGCAGTGCCTGTTCATTGTAGTCGATACATTTTCTTTGATTACCAAGGCTACCCCAGGCTACCCCCAGTTTTGTTAGTAATATGGCAATTCTTGGATGTACTGCGGTCTGACCGTAAACTCTTCTGCGCATCTGCAGTGCCTGTTCAAAGTGGTTGATAGCTTTTTCATAATCTCCAAGGTTATCCCAGGCTGTTCCCAGGTTACTGAGGGAGCTAGATGTGTCACAAAGTGCTGTGCTCCGACCGTAGATATTCTTCTGCATGTGCAGAGCTTGTTCATGGCAATCGATGGCTTTCCTTTGTTCCCCAACGTCATCCCAGGCCAGCCCAAGGTTGTTGAGTAGCACAACAATCATGGGGTGTGTCTGGCCATGGATACTTCTGTACATTTCCAGTGCCTGTTCATAGTAGCTGACTGCTTTTTGGCACTCACCCATGCCAAGCCAAGCATTGCCAAAGTCAAACAGCAGAACCATGTTATCATTATCTGTATAAGCTTTTTCTTGGGCCTTATTGTAGCAGCGGATAGCCTGCTGATATCTGCATAGCTCATAGTACATTTCTCCTCGTACTCGTGCGGAAGTATCATAGAAATCAGGAAATGAATCTGAAACTGTAGTCTCACTAGGCCATTTAGAGAGAACATTTTTTAAGGGAACCGATGTAGAATAATATCTGAAAAGCTGTTTTACATTTGGGAGGTGGAAAACTGGCCTAAGATCATTTGTTTGTTCTTCATCATTTGTCTGAGATTCTTGACCATGCGGCACTGTTGACACCAAAGCTGACAGGTTTTCCTTCTGTCCACCATTTGCGATGTAGGTTCTGAGCCTGAGTTCTGCTGAGATGCTGGTAAGCACTGTCAGGTGGTGTGCATTGTTGGGACTGATCACTTGTTGGTTTTCCATTTCTTCTATTGTCTCCCAAACTGTGGTAGGTATGATTCCTGAAGACAGTGCCAAGCAGTCCACTGCTACAGCTGGGAAGCGATAGAGTTCTTTCTTTACAAAAATCATTCTTGCTGTAATTGTTTCTTTATCACCTAAGCTTTCTATGTTTTCCTTAAGTATCTCCTGTGCCAGTTTTTGAGCCATTTCGCCTCCATCAGCTTTTAGTTTTTTCACTGTGATGCCCATGTACGTGTCAATCAAATCCTGATCCCCTGCTATCAGGCATGCGTTTCTCAAGATAGTGGCAAGGTGATATCCTTCCTTCAGGTATAATGTGACATCACTCTGTAGTTTTGAAGCCATGTTTTCTGGTGTACAGATGAGTTCACTGGGTGGTTTGTCCATAGTTCCCTGCCTGCCCAGTGGAGTCTTGCTTGCCTTTGGCATGGAGCCATCAAATGCAAACCCACGTGGTGTAACAGAGTCAAAGTACCAGTTGTCAAGTGGGTCCTCAGAGTAGAAATCATTGAGAGATTTTATTCCCAATGCTGGGAGAATGGTTTCTCCCAGGTTGACCACCTTGAGGTGCAGATAGTGAGTGAGGTTACGGAAATACACAAGCCATTCTTCACTTTCTTCTTCTACCAAGATGGCAGACTCCAGGTCTGAGTATGGAGTTACCAGTCCTGTGGCCTGTGAACCCAAACCGATCAGGGCATACTTACAGGGAGGGGGACCCAATAACCCAATACACTCTTCTATAAGCAGGCTGATGAACTCCTTCCTTTGTTGTGAAATGTTCTCAAACAACTGCCTGACAGCCTGAGCTCGTTTTGTCTCTATCTCTTTGACACATGGGTCGTCCTCATCATGTACATAGGGATCCAGCTGCTGGTCAATGGTTTCCATCTCCAGCTTGATCTGGTCCCGCATCTCCTTCAGCTGATTCTTGTATTTTTCTGTGTCATCTTGGCTTACATTACTATGAATGCCTAAGGTACATTTGAGAAATGACATCTCTACTTCTCTAATAGTTCTTTCTATGTTACCATTGAGGACTTGATCCTCTGATCTGGCTATTGCTGCATTGTAGAGTGCTGCTGCTTTGACAAAGTCTCCCCCGTCTCCTGTCTGCTGACCTCGCTTACTGTAGACATCTCCCACCTTGCACAGGGGCTCCACCTCTCTCTGGTACTGCTGGGCTGTGGGATCTGGGGAGAAAGGATGTTCCAATATTAATCTGGACAAAAAATGGTTACAGCAGACAAGAAATCTCTCTAGAAATTCCCTCAAATGTTAAGTCTAAGAGTCCTGTATTTCTGCCTTACCTTTGACATGTACCGTCTTGAGTGCAGCTGCAAAGTGCTGCTCTGCTGAGTCCAGGTCTGTCCTGGCAAGGGAGGATTCTCCTTCCCTGAAGTGGCTTGTGTATTGACTAATGAGACAAAAGACAGGGCTTAGGTTTTAAGCTGTAAGGGAGACTTGCGTTGGATCGAAGGAATGTTATTTATCTTACAGTGTAATCACTTAATGATCTAACATTTGAAAATTTGATTATTACGTCAGCGATTCAAATTTGCTTCATGTGACATATTCGTCACCTGTCATTGACGCCTTCTTCATCTGCAACATCAGTGTTGGTTGTTCCTGGCTCTTGTGCTTTGCTGTAACTGAACAAAATGTGGCTGTCACGACAATGGAACTCCTAGTAACAGCACATTTTGGGTTTAGGAAATGTAAGCTATTCTATTGATCTTTTTTCTTCAACATCTTAATTTGCAACTCTAATCATTCCTACTTCCGCTGCTTTCCCGGCAAGAAAATGCAACATAGTCAATTAACTTTTACAAAGTTAGTATTTTCTCCCTTTACCAAAGCTTAGACTACGGTAACTGGTTTCAAAAACGTGTCAGTGAGCGTCCTTACCTTGGTATGTCTGGATGGAGATTCTGGTCCTGAGTATTGGCTGAACTCGTGAATAGGTTCCCCATCCTGTAATAAACCAAGTCAGTGAGCTCTTCTTGGTATGTTACTTGTCATGCCTGTAATGCCTGTATGCCTGTTGCATGTTTTAATAACCTACAATTGTTAACTGCCTTTTTGTGGCGTTACCATGCCTCATGCTGATGCAGATACAGGTACAAAACACTGTTTATCGTTATAAGACACTGGCAGCATCATATGTTGGCCATTGTCCTTGCTTATATATAGTATTACCCAGTTGGATATATCCTGATTTCTTCGACGGCGAAGCCAAGACAACGCGAAGAGGTGAGCAATCACCTGTTCTGCCCCATCTTATGGCAAATCCAAAATAAAGAAATAAAGCCTATCCCCCTGTACGTATTAGAAAGGAATTGCAGAGCAACAAGCTAAGAACCCCAGGCTTTATATGTGCAAACTTATTCATATTCAAACCACGAGACAAGTCGATTGTACGGGAATGGATCCGGCTGAATGATAACTGAGGTCAAAGTGGCGTCGTGTGTTGTAGTGGTAGTTGTACATCACTGGACAATGAAACAGGGAGACCCGGGTTCGATTCCGGGTCGTACCCGAACAAGTCCGAACATGCGCAGCGACGTTGTACCCTTGGGAAAGGTACTTTACACGACTTTCCTCACTTCACTCAGGTGAAAAAGAGGACCTAGCTTCGGGCTAAAAGAGGCGTCTTATCGGATGGGACGTTAAAATGGAGGTCCCGTGTTTGAGAAGAGACACACCTCAAGCACGTGAGCGGAAGTGGAACAAACCATTATGGTCTAAAAAGGGGTAGGGAATTTTCCCGACCAGCCTCGTAACCGCTGCTTCTCCTATTGGGTCAGTTAGTCCTCACTACTTGTGATGATGTTTCTAACTCAGAGAGAAGAGTTGCTGTTATAGTTACAGGCTAGCCCTATGCCTAGAAGTGGCCAATGGCCTTGCATTGAGCGACACCGTTAAAGAAAAAGCCTAAAAACATATTCCTATACCACAAGCTTTAAGTGATTCTCTCCAAGTCTTGTAAGTGCATAGTATTAGCATGTCAGTCATATTAACACGCAACAAACAGGTTCTTGATACGTTCCGTTTGTATATATATAAAGCATGATTAAGAATGGATCGGCTCGCCGTGATGTCTCATGTCTTAAACATGGTGTATTAAACTCAGCTGACCCCAGTCTATCTATTTTAGCTTCCGGGTCTATATAGCGTAGAGGATATAGACTCTGACGCTAAAATAGGTCTGGTAACCAGGCTAGACCCCAGACACCTTATCTGTAGGACTAAACACTTATCTAAATCTCACCTGGATATGTCTGAGACTCCACAGAACCCGCCTGGGTAGAATTGTACCTGCGTCTCTATAAAATGGCGACAGTTCTGTATTTCCCCTCTGCCTCAGGGTGTGCTACTGGTGGGACTTTCCGATGAGTCATCGCTACGTCAACAGTCCTTTGTACAGGTGAATACAATGCCCCTCAGGGGAGACACCATTGAAAGGGTTCTCCATTGAAACATATGCTAAATCAGACATGAAAATTGGCATCAATTCTCTAGTTTTTGTCACATAAACTCACCTTCACGTGTTGGCCAATTTAATAATATGTACAACAAGCCGCGATATAATTATGGAAAAACGTTTTAATTATGGACTCCCACCCATAAATCCCAAACGCTTAACCCAACTGTCTTAATACTTTTTATGGTAACATATTAGGTGGTAATGAATATGCGGAAAGCGTTGATGAGTCCCTTGGGAATAGTCCAATTATACATAATTATACTATAATTATGTATAATTATACATAATGATTTTGGTATTATACATAATTATACATAACCCTTAGGACCGTTATACATAATTATAGATAACCCTTTGGACCATTATCTATAATTATACATAACCCTTTGGACCATTATACATAATTATCCATAATTCTATGGACTATTATACATAATTATACATAACAGTTTGGACCATTATATATAATTATACATAACAGTTTGGACAATTATACAATAATTTCACGAGGATTTCGCGAGAACCGAGTGCGCCGCTTTCGAAACCTCGAACACCGAATTCAAACATTCAAATTGACGCTGTTACACTTTTTGTTTAGATTAAATTTTTGTTTAAATTTCTCGGTTGGGTTAAGGCAGCCTATGGTATACTATGAGAAGTATTTCATACATATGCCTGTAACTTTTGATAGCTTGGTCGCACCACAACTAAACTTCACACTAGTACTTGAAACACATTGGATAAAGGTTATTTTGTTTTAGTACTTCTGGATTTTTGGGTTAAAAATCAACATTTTGGTTTAAAAAAAAGCTGTTTACTTCATGGCTTTACGCGCAAGCGGTAACAACACCTTTCATCATGATATTTTACAAGTAGAAAGCCAACCCCCTATTTATTATTTTTGTCCGAGGCTATTTCGTGTTAAATGACAGTTACATTGTTTTTTTGGGGCCAAAAACGACAGAAACAGCTATTTTTCTGTCATTTTTCGTTAAAAAATCGCCACAGTTAAAAAAATATCGACTTATATGCAAAATAGCCTCGGACAATTTTGATAAAAAAGTGATAATACGTAAACATGGATTACTCTAAAGATCAATTATGCTGTTTTCAGCTGCGCGTAAAGCCGTTTATGTCATAGTCCGTGAATAAAATGCGTAACAACGCGGGTTCACAGGGGAAACATACAAATGACCGCGAGTGACCCCGAATTCGAACACGCGTTCTATTCGAATGACGTCATATCGAACATGGTGGAACATGATTCGGGTTCGAAACAAGTCTGTGGCCATCGTGCAGACACACGTCCGAACTCAAACATGAATATCAGCCTAGGCCGCCTTAACCCAACCGAGTTTGGCACATTTTGCATTAAAATGTCTGTTTTATCGGGTGGGTACCACGATGACATCACCCTCGGCCACAGACCTCCTGCGGATCGGATCACCCGATGGCTGAATCCGTACCTTGGGTGATACAGAATACACTGTGCACTATCTAATATAATGGTTGTTCCAGTCTGTGTCATAAGTAGCCATACAACCCGGGGTTCCAATTGTAGGCTTCAGGCTTCAGAATGTTCCATAGAATAACTGGAACTGTTTTGCCTGAGCTGAGTGTGCCAATTCCAAACATTCAAATACCAGATTGGAATTGATGTTGTATTTTTTAATCTAGGGACTCCAAATTTCGGCTCATTTCGCAATTTGAAAGGCGTGTGTTCTCGAGTTGTTACAATGTGGTGTATCCCGTATCACCCTCGGTCCCAGCCCTCCTACTGTTGAGAGATCCAACCTGTGGTACAATGTACCTCGGTCGATAGGAATACACTGTGTTGTATACTAAAATAGATTATCAAATTCTACAAAATATTAAATATTAAAATAGATTTGTAATCTTAAAATCAAGGAGGTTAAAGAATGTCTCAAGGAGGTTAAAGAGACACTCTCCTTGCTGAAATAGAAATCCCATTTCACAGCTTCTGATGGGTTTTAACATTAACAGACAAAGAGAATTATTTGCTACATATTTTTCCCTAAATACTTAACGTCTTAAATACATAATAATAAAGTAAGACTTGAGAAGGAGTCAACATGTACAGAGAATGTACTATGACTAATATATTATGATTACAGAAATTTCTGCAGGAAAAATTTTTCCTGCAGGAATTTCTGTAGGAGAAATAATGCAGAAATTTTTGCAGGTAAATGTAAATCCTGCATCCAGAAATTAAATCTTTCCTGCAGACATTTCTGCAGACTTATCTAGAAGAAATGTCCCTGTATCTGGAAGCATTGCAGCAGTAGGATATGAGTGTTGTTATGCATCCAAGCTTGTTTACAACTGTTAAGGCCACAACAATTTTATTTCTTTTTTCTCAATTGAAACAGTCCTGTTGACTATAGAATTGCACGCAAAATTAAATCGATGTATGCACTCAAGGTGGTCCTTTTTAGTTAAGCTTTTAGATGATCGCTTGATTTTGGGTGTGAGTGTGTGTTTGTGTGTCTTTGTGCTTGTGTGTGTAATTCATACACTGTAAGTTTTAGGCTGGTAACTCAGAAAATGCTTTAATTTACTTCCCCTGTCCCCATCTGTAACTCTTTTACAACTTCCTCTGACCAAGGAGGTTGTTCTACCTCTATGATCTGACTGGAGTCTCACTCTTGCTGCTTTGGAACTTGTTCATTGTATCACCAGGGTGTGATAATCACCTCTCCTCCCCATTCTCACACATCTTTAGTATGTGTGCTTTGTGTATAGGTGATAACCAACCTCCACAACGGATGCACTAATATGCAGTTTATGCCATCAAAGAAAAGAATGATTAGGTCTAATTGGGTGAAAAGTATTTTGTGATCACCTGATGCCTTTAGCAAGCTCCACCATAGGCCAAATCTCAGATCCTATTGGTGGCAAGTCTGAGACACACATATTGTGTAGTGCTATTGTATACTGTGTAGTGCCACCAACGGATCTGCTTGGAGATCAATAATGGGCATCCAATTGTTTTGTAGTGTTATTTTATAATGTTGAATGAAATTTATATTGTTTTTATAGTTCTATTGATTTGGTAAGCAACCACATCATAACTTTTATTTCTCTAGACAAGGTAAGGCCACACCGACTTGAATTATATGGATGACAAACTAGTGCGTGTGGGAAAAAAATTTTAGCCAAAAAAATGCTGCTAAACCACAGGAATTCAAAGCTGGTACTGTAAATTTGCAGTTTCTATGACAAGCTGCCACGTGCTGGCCTTTTGCGACATTTATCATTTGGCAGATCAGAGTTCTTGAGTTCCATGGAGCATTGGCAGCCTGGCTCCCTATGTCGGCTAGCTACCATGCACTACGTACGGAGGATGGCACCCAGGCCAGAGTCTCCAAGGAAATGATTCTTTTTTTTTTTTTGAACATCAATGTTTTTTGAAAATCAGTGCGCGGAATTCATCCATAAAATTAAATCAGTGAGGCCTAAAGCAGTCCAAGTTTTAGCTGATTAACCTAACTTAAGATATTGGATTCATTTTCTCTTTTATCATCATCAACACGTCCTTCGTTGATATATACTAGTAATACTTTATATACTTCAGGACCTATACTGACTCCTACACCTCTCACTAGTGGGAGGGTTAAGAGTGGGATCTGAAGGACAACTTAAAGGAGTACTAACCTCTAGAAGGAAGTGCTATTTTCCGATAAATCATGCTGCAATGAATACATAACTAGCCAACTTTTTACATAATTTCGCTTGTACGAGTTGAGCGGCGCATGTTTGTAAAGTGATATTAATATAATTTTCCCCCATGCTGAACCACAATTGATACATCCGGGAATTCTGGCTTGCGCAATACTCATACACTTCAGGTCAACATAAACATTTTTCGGCGAAAATGGTAGGAGACAAGCACACTAACAAGCTGATTATTGAGAAATTACTTGCTTTACTTTGCTTGACCTGTGGCTTGGATATTATAATATCAGGATGACGAATACAGTGGGAGCCAGTTTCATCCTGCGTGTTTTGATTTTCTCAACTTATTTGCATGTAAGTATCACTTGAACAGATAATTAGATTACGCCACTTATGGAAAGGATAACTAGATTACGCCGTTTTTTTCATCGTCAATATTTGCGGCATAAATGAGGGGCGATAAGGACACCAAGAAGGGCAATGGTTGGTAAGATACCAAAGAACACAAAACGGTACGAATTTTTCTTATCGCCCCCGAAATGAGGTCTGTAACGTAACTTTTTGTTTAAAACATAGACACCAATGGGGTAGCGTGGTGTATTCTGGGATAGTTTTGAGGGTATTTGGAGAGTTCGTCCTGGATTCGATGCGTTTTAAGACTTGCGCGCAAAATGGGCATTTAATTGTATACTGTAAAATAATATGCATTTTTCAATTCCAAAAATAAATGCCTGTCGAAATATAGCACCTCCTTCTGGAGGTTAGTACTCCTTTAAATCTCGTTGGTGGGATGTACAAATGCAGAAAATTAGACTAAACACCAACAGAATAATAGTCTACTTAGTAATCCATCAGGCTCTACCAGGCTTCAGGAAGTGGATGGAAAGAGTAAAATTGGCCAAATAAACAGATAACATCTCAGGGGAGTTGGTCTGCTCAAGAGTACAGTTTGCCACTTTCGGATAATTTCCAAGCAAATCTTTCGGTGGGGGGAAGACAGTATCAAATTGGCCAGTCTGTAACCATTTCCCCACCCAAGATCCACCTGCGGTCGAAATGTCAAAGGCTATTAACACCTAGTTGTTGCCTGATCAAAATATTCTTGCCAAGTACTTAGTAGTTTATTGCCTTGACCACCAGGCAAGGCTCTTGGCCTCCTAGTAGGCCAGCTGGTTGAGCATTACAGGAAGTCTCTCAAGTCAATGGGTCCCCTCACCAACTGTTACAAACTGTATTTTGGACAGTTAACTAAAGGAAAGGAAGGTTCAACATATCCTTTGTGATAT